AACTTTCGCTTGCAAAAAATTCATATGTCGTGTTGTAGATTTTTTAAGCTTCATTGAAATCAAATCATACAATTCATCTTTTTTGATCTACGTGTTGAAGGCAATATAGAAATAAGTTTCAGAATGAAATACATTTGTAGGAAAAAGATCTTGTCATTAAATATTTTTTTACGAAGATATTCGTCCAACACGATTATCGTATCGTATATATAGATAGACAAATTTAAAGAATCTCGTGCTTTACAGAACGCAAGGCCCACTATCAAATCAGATGTTATACGGTAGGGGTGCTTCCACATCAAGAATCTCTGCAGTCCTTGTTTTCTACACAACGTGAGGTTCCATCATTTCTTTGTAGTTTGTTTAAATTATATTAATTAAGTTTAAATTATTAATAGTTGGTGTTTAAATTATTCTTCAACAATATGATAATTAGTTGTTTAGTTCGATGCATAAATACTTTGGGAACCATCATATTTTTATGAAATTTATTTAAATGCTAATTTATAAACATAATAAAAAAGAACTACACAATGTTTCAGTTAGTTGAAATGAATAGAAAATGAGTCTGATTATGTTTTGTTGAACCTATATTTTGACATAACAAATGAGGGCAAAATATTTTTGAACTTAATTGAACTTAACCAAATATTTCAAAAATAATTCAAAGTCCAAAATAACTTGAAAAATATGATTCTAAATTGATTTATATATATGAAATATTTTTGAGTTAATTAAAATATGTTTAAAGTATTTAAAGCTTTTAAAATATGAAAAACACTATTTGATCACTATTTGACACTGTTCACGATAATGTTCATATATGGATATTGTTCATGAATTGTGAGTTTTGAAACTTTAAGTAAAGTTTCGAAACTTTGCCTCCTGAAATAGTTTTAACGATTCAATTTTCTTCAATGGTCATATTTTTAAGTAATAGTTTGAAACTTTCATCAATAGTGTGGTTTCGATACTTTCTCAATATTTTTGAAACTTGCATAAATGTTTTGAAACTTTATGTGTAGGCAGCCACAATTATGAGAAATGAATGCTTCCAATGGCTATAACTCATTCTCAATGGCTATAAACGACTTGCAACTCATTCCACACTACAAAAACAACCCGATGGCACTTAAATAAGGTTACAACACCTATTCAAGCAATCAATACCAAGACAAAAACTTTTTCAATCTTATTTTTCTTTTTCTCTTGTACATAGAGTGTTTTAGTGAGCTTAATTGTGTAAACATCTACCTTGCGTGGTTTTCTTTTTTACAATCTTCTTATCTTTTTGAAAAAGGATTTTGGTTCTAGTTTAGCCATTGAAAACTAGGGAGTTGTATTGAGCCTAGAAAAAGAAAGAACAAATTAGTGAATTTGTTAGAAATTCTTAGTGTGAAGCTAAGATAGTGGATGCAGACTTTATTTGAGGAAGTTGAACCACTCTAAATACTTGTGGAAATTTTTCTATAATTTCTCTCCATGCTCCTAGAATTTTATTTGGCTAATTCACCCCCTCTTGGCAGTTTTCGGTTGATCGATCGAGCCCAACATGTTTCTTCGTAGTTTGTAGAAATGTCCAATGTTAAGTTAAATTCCTCAATTATTTGTTCTTTCTCTCGACGTTTACGGGTGTAACATAGTAGAACTGCCTATTCGTTCTCTTGGTCTTGTGACAATTGAGTTACTTCTGTATTTCTTGATCAAGATGATTCTTCTTTAAATTTTACAGTCAAAACGATTTTTATATCGCCGACATGTTTGTAAGCACTAAACATCTTCTGAAGGTTGTTTACATTTGATAAGGTTAACACGTAACGTGTTTCAGGGTCGGGCTCAACAACGAGAACTTCACTTGCAACGAAGACATCTGTCGTGTTGTAGATTTTTTAAGCTTCGTTGAAATCAAATCATATAACTTATCTTTCTTGATCTTGACATTAAATAAAGTGTAGAAATAAGTTCCAAAATTTAATACCGTTACAGAAAATCTTTCCATTAAATTATTTTTTACGACGCTATGCATCAAATATGGTTATGGTTCTTATTTATAGAGTTTTTATTATAAAATAATGTGTCTTTCATAATGTGGGGTCATTGACATGTCAAATCAATAGTGTATACTAGGGGTGATGCTACGTCATGAATCTCTACGGATATCGCGTTCTACGAAACATGTGGTTCTTATTAGGTTAAGAATCTATGATTCTGCCACGTCAGGAATCTCTATGGATCTCGCGTTATAAAAAACACGAGGTGTCTCTTCAAGTCAAAAATCTCAATGGAAAACGCGTTTTACAGTGCCTGGGGTGTTTCTCTATATAAGGCATCATCTTCTGGTGGCATTCTAACTTATAAAACGAGGTCTCTACTTATAAGAGGCTCCTTTTTTGGTGGCATGACTTGGCACAAAACTTAGATATCCTTATGCCAATATTGGTGCTATAAGTTTTGCCACCCGAAAATGATACCTTTTATAAGGACATCACCATTTGAAACTCATGTATAAATCTTTCGCAGTTCTTCCGTCAAATATGACCTTCTCGAGAAACATGTTGTTTCATCAAAACAGCCTTTCACATGGACATGTTGGGTTTTCATTTAATAACACCCTTAAAATGCATCTTCTTCTGGTGACGTCTTCAAATTGGCCATTAATCTAAACCAAAAAGTCATTTGAGGGGTCTAATTCACTCTCCATCAAACCTGTCAATCTTTTCAATCTTCTTCAACATGAGTAATTTGGTGTTCTAGAGTAACTTATCATTTTTAAAAATGATTTCTAAATTCCATTTTTTCGTTTGATTCACTCTTCATCAAACCTGCTGGTTTCATAAACCTTCTTCAACGTGAGTAACCTGACCTTCTCAAGAAACTTATTATTTCTAAAAATGCATCATCTTCTTATAGCTTGTTACACTGATTTGACAAATGACACACCTCCATTCAAGAACCCAGGGCTTCTCTTGTACATGAAACTCAGGAAGCTTCTAGGGAAACTTATTCTTCCTTCAAACCCACTCGAGAATCTAGGGCTTCCCTCGTACATAGAAGATTCAAGAAACTTCTCGTTCCATTGAAACTAGGATCAAGCACAATGAAAAACATTACTTCATTTGTAATTTATGTACCATAATTATGTTATTATATTTTTTAATATTGAAATTTAAGTTATTTAAATATTTGGTATTATATTTATTGTTATGTTATTTTAATTATGTGACTAGGATTTACTGTGACGAAGATTTAGTCGAACACAGAGAAAGAACCGAAGAGTCGAAATTATATACTATTGTAATTAACAAAATATATTCGTTAGTTTTCAATTTTTTTGTTTTGAACCATTTTGAACGCGATTTTTACACTGCTTAGAATGTCTCGCATGTGTTGTTACTAGCCTCAATTGAAACATAAATATCAATATTAAGCCTCTAATCTTATAAATGACAAAAACTTTTAACTAACTTCCCGAAAATACTCCCCGAACATGCCTATCAATCCATGCTAGTTTTTTCTTCATGTAGAAAATCAAGCTTTGGAACAATTTTGAACGCGATTTTTACCCTACTTACAATGTCTCATATATGTCAATATTACCCTGAATTGAAAGAAAAATTACAATATTATGTCTTTAATCTTATAAATTACAAAAACATTTAGATGAACTACCAAAAAAAAAACCTTGAATATGCCTATCAAACCATTTTAGCATTTTCTTCATGCACAAAACAAGCTTTGGAACCATTTTCAACGCAATTTTTAACCCACTTACAATATCTCGTATGTGTCGATATTGGCCTCAACTGAAAGATAAATTCCAATACTAAGCCTATAATCTTATAAATTATGAAAAATTTTATAATAACTACCCGAAAAAATCGTTCGAACGTGCCTATAAAAGCTTGTGATTTGGGCTGGAAACCTACATACCTCACGTTTTGTATAACGCGAGGTATGTAAAATACCACATGTGATAATTTGTCAAAACGTTTTAATATCTCGGAAATATCGCCTTGTGCAGAACGCGAGATCATTGATTGAAATATTAAATTATATTTCCTAAAAAGTGTATCACGTTGGAGGATACTCGCGTCCCGCGCGAGGTGATTACACGTTTTTTGTAGGATATGAGATAATATTACGTGTGGAGTAATTTAGAGGATATTTTTCCAAAAATAAAAAATAAAAAAAATGTATGAAAGGTATTCTTCCAAAAAAATGGTTTTTTTGGTTGTTCTCGACGGTTTAAAATATTAACGGATTTTTAGATAGAGAAGGTCAATAAGCTTCTCCACTGCTTGCTTTAAAGATCACAACTTTCCCTTTTGTTGAGTAAAGATACTATTTTTAATGAATTAGTGTGAGATTCTACTGAAGATTATGTGACCTCCAATGTAAGGTTTTATTTGGATTATAATTTAAGTTTGAATTTTGTTATATCCATGGTGAATTTTGGGTTTTATAATGAGCTCCATTTTTTTTTCTTTTTTAATCTTCCATTCTCTTTACAATGTGCGCTATTCTCTCATTAACTAATGGCCCATGCATTCTTTCAGATTTAGGTTAATCGGAAGCAAAGTTTGCTGTTGGCTATGGCAGAATGCACGTGCTGATATTGCATTAGGTGTGATAATCATGGCAATTTCCTGAAAAACTTTATCCAAATGGATAGAAATCTAGGAAAAGACATAATGGATCAAATGAAGAATCGGGAACAAATTCGATACAACAATATGGAATCTGGAAATGAGACTGGAGAGTCTGCGAACCAAAGATTTTTCCATGAGACTGGAGGCTCATGCTGAGTTACTCCATTCAGATGGGTGAGGAGTTTGCTATGGAATTTATGCAGGAAAGGGTAAATCCCAAGCAGCATTTTGGTCATAACTCATAATGCTTATGATGATACTGGTTTATATGGATTTAAAAAGCATTCCGGGATAAAGCAAGGTTATGCATCGAGAAATGCTTCACTTAGCTCATCAACTAAGGTGAAGTTTACTGCAGCTTTGGTGATTAAGTTTTACCACGTCCCAGTGATGGGGAACTTAGGTATGTTGGGGGAGAAAGTAGAAACACGTATCATTCGATTAAGCAAGGGTATTTCCTTTCAAGAGCTTGTTCAAAAAACCTAAGAATTTATAACCAAGCCCATACCAAAAAGTATCAGTTGCCTGGGGAGGTTCTTGATGCATTGGTCTCTATATCTTGTGATGAGGATCTGCATAACATGACGGAGGCTTGCAGAAACGGAGGATATTCCTTTTCGCTAGTAATGATTTGGAGGAATGCTCAATATGGCTTGCGGAGTGTAGAGGGTGATTCTGAGATTCAATATGTTGTTGCCGTAAATGTCATGGATCTGGGGACTAGAAAAAAAACTCAATTTCAGCAAGTGCGTCTGAGAACAAGTTGGATGGAGGTTTGAATGTTGCAAGGGAGGCGATCGGATTGTGACTGAAGCAACTGTTACTAGTTCTGCTTCTTTGGCAACTAATGCACCTTCAACAACGGTCCAATCTTCTGAACCAGTTTTGGCGAGTTCATCCAGCACTCATGCATCTAGTTCACAGCCATATTCAGAGCAAAAATTGTGTTACAGAGAGGATAGCCAGCAGTTGTCTTCCACTTCCAAGTAGATGGGAAGACAAATGTTCCTTTGTCTGCTGTTCTCAAGTTGTAACTGAAGGGAGAAAGAATGTTGAAGATGACGACTTTTACACATCTAGTGGGCCGTTTATATCTGTTTCTGGTGATTATGAAGCTGATCCAAATAACTTCAGCTGCCTTGAGCCATCTGTGCTTCTTCAGCAAGATTTTTGTTCAGATAGAATCCCCAGGGAGCAGGCACAAGTGAACTGTTTATCAAAGTCTGATGATTCTTCTGGGTCTCAGTTTCTAACGAGTCAAGCACATTCTGATTATTCCCAAATGATTAGAGAAGCAGTTGATAACATTCATGATGGGAATGTGTGTCCTCAAGCTGATCAATCTGTCACGTCTGCAAATCCAAGGTTTGAAGATCATACGATTGTTATGGATGGGCTTGCAGAATTTGAAAATTATAAAGGTTATGCTGAAATAGATATCTCTAATATCTCTGAGGAGAGACTTGAGTCAACTGAGCAGAAATCTCAATTGAAAGAAATCTCAGTTGAGAGCCCTGCTGATGAAGAAGCAACTGTGTTAGATCATCCCACAGCAAGTCAGAATTTCTGTTAAGCACCTTGAAGAGCATTCTTTGAAGCCGTCTGAATTTGAACGGATTGAGAAGGATGGAAACAAGAATACAGGAAATGATGCTAAGGGGCATGAATAGTCTTTGGTGTGGGCAGAGGGACCAACTAGACCAACTTCCTATGTACAGCCTGCTGTTTCTGTAAGCACTTCTGAGTAAGGAGACATACTTATTGATATTAACAATCAGTTCCCCCGACCTTCTGTCTGACATATTTTCACAATTAAGAATGTCCCAGAACCTCTTTGGTACGAGTCCATTCCCTGGTGATGGAACTGGATTGAGCTTAAACATGGAGAATCATGATCCTAAGCATTGGTCATACTTCCGTAATTTGGCTTAAGATGAGTTTGCTAGACAGGAAGTTCTCTCATGGGTCAGGATCGTCTGGGTTTCTCATCTCTGCTTACAAATATTGAAGGTGGGGCTCCAAGGGATTACAGCTATCCATCCAGCTTTGTAATCAGCTGGTGCAGTTGCTATGGCTCATGTTAGGCCAGACATCAATTTTGCCGAGGACATCAGACAGGAACAACTTGGATATAGGCTCAGATTACATGAAGTCTCCGGTCAAGGATGATGAAAATGCACGAGTTGAGCAACACCTACAGGTACCTGAATTTGTGTTTGAAGTACTAGTGGCTTGTGCAATTGGTTTTAATTTGTATCCTTTTGCTTCTAAATATTATTCTTGCATTTTTCCCTTTTTTCAAGGAAAGGAAATTGAATATGAAGAATACTTGTCTACCTCTTGTGTTTCATTCCCATGGAGAATTTGATACAAGTACATTGCAGGTATATCTATCCTCACTTATCTAAAGCCCTAATACATACAGAGCTGGTGCATTTTAACTTTGCTTTTATGTTGTCCAAAATTTCCAACTTTAATAAAGCTTAGCCCAATTTTATTCATATATGCTTATGCTAAAGTCTTCTCTAGAAGTTTTTGTTCTGTCAGTGGCATGGGTATCCATTCATGATCAGCCACCACTACCATTTTGTGGAATCTGATTGCCAATGGCATCATTGCAGCTGCCAATGATTACTTTCTAGATGTTAAACACTTATTATAGACGTAGAATGTTTATAGTAAACATCTACCTCACTGGAGCCAGCATGCTGCGAATTTTATCACCTTGGATGATATTCATCATTGTGATATCTTTAATCTGCTTCCATTACATAATCTTAATTTATGCTGGTGAATTATATAGAAATGTGGCAATATATATATAATTGAGCATACTGATACATTGAACAATTCTGCTTTTTTGCCTCTTGTCCCAAGATTATTCAACTAATTTATTCACTATTTCTAACTCCATGTTGGTTAATTCTGTCAAATGCCCAGGCAGATCATTAAAAATGAAGATCTCAAAGAGCCAAGGGAGCTGGGTTCAGGTACATTTGGGGCTGCTTACCATGGAAAATGGAGATGAACAGATGTTGCCATCATGTGGATAAAAAAAATGTTTCACTGGTCGTTCATCTGAGCAAGAGAGTGGTGACTTTTCCTGTCGTTTCTTCACTTTTTGTGCATCATCAACGGATATTGATAGTTTTCATACTTCTTCTCATGTCACTAATAACGGTCAGCATTAAATATTTTTCAGACTGTGGAGTTCTGGCGTGAAGCTGACATCCTTTCAAAGCTTCACCACCCCAATGTGCTGGCCTTTTATGGTGTGGTGCATGATGGACCTGAAGGAACAGTAGCCACTGTCACTTAGTTCATAGTGAATGGCTCTCTTAGACGTGTTTTTGCTTAGTAAAGAAAGGTAATAATTTTAAATATAGTTTTTCCCTAGAATGTTGTCCATCCTTCAAGAGAATTCTTGCCTGTTATATTTTAGTTGCTATAAGTGTTTTGTACCTGTCTAGGCAAATTGATCGTTGTAAGCGACTCATTATTGCCATGGATGCAGCATTTGGGATGGAATATTTACATTCAAAGAACATTGTTCATTTTGACTTATAATGTGACAACTTGCTTGTCAACTCGAGAGACCCCATACGGCCAATTTGCATGATCTTGTCATGTATAAGTTTGTAAATTTTCTGGCGTATGCATCCAGTCCAATTACCCATCTCTTGTTTGGTAGGTTGGGGACTTCAGGTTATCAAAGATAAAAAGGAATACCGTGGTTACTGGTGGTGTGAGGGGAACTCTTCAATGGATGGCCATAGAGCTATTGAATAAATGTAGTAAGGTTTCCGAAAAGGTATGACAGTTTATTTCATAACTTAGATGAAGTTTGTTTAGATTAGTTCATATCTGGCTTTACACTTACCGGTTCAAGTTGCGGTGTTTGTTTCTAATCTATAATGAAATGGGATGTTAGGATTGTTGCCTTTGCACTAGTCCCAGACCTAATAGTTTTTCTTGTTAATTTTGTCAATCTCAATGTTCAAGAATTTGTTTGTGCATTTTCTGTATAAACGTACACAATAGATCCTGCTCAAATCTAGGAATCTACTGAAAAGTCCACCTCCACGACACCATAGGCAAGGAGCAAATGGTCTTTATGGAATATAAGTTACCCGGATTTTATCATTTGCAGGTTGATGTGTTCTCATTTGGCATTGTTCTCTGGGAGATTCTTACCGGGGATGAACCTCGATCGCTGCTTCGTTTTAGCTACACGTGCTTTTACTTTGTGAGATGTCTCATTTGTTTTCTGTAATAGGTTCTATTCAAGGGTCCCTTACCATATTTTGTTGATTTAGTTGCTATCTTGAATTTTCTATTTTTCATAAAATTTCTTCTGTTAAATTCAGTACTTATCATGTCGATAGTTTCGATCTATGAATAAATGTAGCATGGACAATGCTTCGAACACATGTTTCCATGCACGTCCATGGTGAATCAAAAACATTAACATGGTAGTCTGTGGTCTGATTACCTCATATGACATGTCCATGCAGGAGGCATCGTTAGCAACACGCTGAGGCCACCTGCACCGAGGTAATGGAAGTTACTAATGGAGCAGTGTTTGGCTCCGGATCCTACAGTTCAACCTTCGTTCAACCTTCGTTCACGTGTCTCAATATTTCCCTTATTTTGAAGGTAAATGTTTAATTAAGTGTATAATTTGATATGAAGAGTAAGGGAGGAGGAGCTCCACTGTCTTTGAGAGTGGTGTCAGAGATTTGATTTTACCTTTGTAAGTTTAAACAGTTTGAACGATTACGTAGTTGGATTTCAATTTGTATTTCTAAATTTTGGCCGACAACTTTTGAATTAACTAAAAATTATTAAATTATCTATTTATATAATTACTTTTAAAAATTAGTTAAATAGACATTTATTAATTGGTAACGTTAAACAATAATAAATATTCATTATAAATTGTTATATATTTCTGTTAATTTATTTTTTCAACAAATTATCAAATAAAACTTTTAAAAAATAATTAGATTATTAAAATATCCGTTTATATTTATATATACATATATATATATTAAAAAATTAATTGAATAGATGGCAGTTGGTGACATTAAATGTAGGGATGACAAAAAATTTCGAATCCGACGGGGAAAATTGAAAATCGAATTTAACGGGTTGGGTTCGGGGATGATAAACGGGGACGGGGACGGGGAAAATCTGTTTATGTTAAACGGGGACGGGTTTGGTAATCCCCGCCCCGATTACCCGATTACCTGGCCCGATACCCGACCCGATAAATATTAAAAATAATTATTTTTTATATATAATATTAATAACATATTTTAAATCAACCCTTAAATATTTTTTATTATTTTTTTCATCCCATACTGCTCCACTTTAAAACATCGTCCCCGCTTCAATTTCTAGAATTTACCTCAATTTTCTCTGTCTCGTAATATTCTTTTTTTCTTTTAATAGTGAAAATAGTGCTTACACTTCTTGTTTGCAATCACGTGTGAACCTTTAATATCTTTTAATAGACAAACATTATCTAGTTAAATGGGAAAAGTCTGGTTGGTTTGCTAGTATTGTGCCACTTCCAACGAACGTGTACTTGCTGCAGGGTTCTCATCCAGTACACCATTACACACCTGAAGCCCACCACTAGCATTGGCAAGCTGGAAATTATGTCCAGCAGAATTTAAAATCAATGCAACTTGCATATTGTCTTCGTCTCTTCGACAACAACCCTCATTTTCACCTCGCATTCCAATAACCTCATACAAGTTGTCTCCATTACACAAGCTTTAACGTTCCTCTGACAAAGCGAAACATGTGAAATAGACATATTAAAATCAGCCTCGGGACCTATACCAACATCACGTTCTTCCCTAGCAAATGGAACAGCAGCTGCTCTCTAGTATTAAATTCGAAAATTCTAAAAAATTTTGGTTAATTAAAAAATTAACCGAAATTTATTCGGTTCGGTTAATATTTTCGAAAAAAAAATTTTGGTTCGATTAACGGTTAAAGAAAAAAAAATGGTTAATTCGGTTAATGATAGTTCGGTCGGTTCGGCCACCGAATGAACAACCCTACCGATACCCGTTTAAATAAACGTTTATGTTAAACGGGGATACCCGTTTCCCCGCGGTTTTCCCCGATTACCCGATGGAGATCGCCGTTTAAATCCCTACGATTTTTTAAACGGGGACGGGTACCAATTTTTTAAACGGGTACGGGGACGAGGGACCAATACCCGACCCGAACCCGGCCCGTTGCCATCTCTAATTAAATGATAGTATAAATTATTAGAATCCCATCAAGTAATAATCGATTTATATTAATGTAAAATTATTTTAATTATATATATTTATAATTTAATATAACTAATATTTAATCGATAAATTTATTATTATAATTATATTTTAAAATTTTAAATCAATCTAATATATTTATTATAATATCTAAAATATTGTTTGTACAACTTAAAAACAGATACTTATTTTATACATCTTAGATTTCTTATACTAAAATATATTACATATTTCTTAAAAAATGCAATTCTTAGGCTGGTTTTTTTAATCTCCAGATCGGAGACGAAGGCCAGCTTCCCATCCCATAATAATCTCAATTATTTAAAAGGTCTTGTTTTTTCTTCTTCCTGTTTTTTTTCCTGCTTCACGAATCACGATCCAATTGCTGATGTTTATATTCTTCGATCATGATTTTTCTTTGGTTATGTGATCTTTTTCTTCTAATCGCTTCATAGGTTCGTATAGAAATGGATTCCTTTTATTTAGGACAGAAAAATAAAATTAGGGTTCCCCCACCCCACCAATTTTTGTTGTTTAATGTTTTGGTTTTGGATAACTGTTATTATTCTCATGTGAATTTTGTTCTTGTTGTTGCGTGATTGTTTTTGGATTTTTTGGTCTGATTTTCCGTCGGGGTTTATATTAATCCGGGTCTTTTCTCATTTTTTGGAATCATTGTTTGCAATTTTATTTTACAGACCCTAAATTCGTATGTTTATGAATTTCACGAAGATTTGGTTTGTTTATAGGAGGCAAAAGTTTCTGAATTAGGGACCCTGGGAAGGTTTTGTTAGTGTTCTTTTCTGGGTTTTGCATACTTGAATGGAGAAGCTAATTTCTATATCAAACCTATTCTGTAAAATAACCTATGATTGTATTGACTTATGGACTATATTGATCTACCGATGTAATCTTGTAAGGGTTGTGCTTTGTACGCCTTGAAAAGGAACATAAAACTATTACTGATATGATGGGTCTGTGATTGTTTAGGGCATGTTATTTTCAATAAGAAAAATTAGATTGAAACTTGCATAAGTTGTGGTGGCACTACTCACCATTTTACTGTCATGATGATATTAATTTTGCCCCATCTGATCAATTAAAATCTTCAGTTCATCAGTGTACTTAGCACAAAGTCCACTCCTCAAAAATCTAAGTCAAGACAATATTCCAATTCATTGTTTCATGACCTTTTTCTTTGTTGGTATGGTTATTATTGTTGAGTTATTATTAATTTATTATTGATGCTTAATTTATATTGGTGTAGTTGTTTTATCGGGTGGAATATGTCCCATTACCAAGAAGATGATGCTGAATACATGGATGAGTATGACATTGAAGACATAGATGATGAAATGGATGAAGAGTTTCCTAGCAGATATATCTCTGGCTCAGACTCCGATGTTGATGAAAATGACTACTTGGTTTGTTTTATGTTTTACAAGACTCACATGGACGCATCTTTAACAACTGAGCTCATGAATCATTATTTTAGGCAAATATACAATATGGCTTTGCTATTTGTAAATCTTTTGAACTTTTTGTTCTAGTATTAATTATATTATTTATAAACTTGAAGACCTTATGTAATTTGAATATACTGCAAAACAATAAAATTTCAGATACTTCTGCTGCTCAAGCTAGAAGAGGGAAAGACATCCAAGGAATTCCTTGGGGTCGGATTAGCATCACTAGGGAAAAATACAGGCAAACTAGGCTAGAACAGTACAAGAACTATGAGAACATTCCTCAATCTGGAGAAAGATCTGGGAAGGTAGAAGTCCTTATAAGTTTCTCACTTCCTTGTTATGAATTCATTTCTCTAATGTTCTGGTGCTAATTGAGCTAAATTTGTATATAGGATTGCAAAGTTACCAACAAGGGTGCATCATTTTATGACTTCAGACTAAATTCAAGATCTATAAAATCAACAATACTTCATTTTCAGGTTAGCAAAATTGGAAATTTTCATTTCATTAATCAGCTTTCTTTACCCCATTCATATTTTGTGAGGTTATAGATTTTTTTTTTAAGTTCCTTTTTCCTATCTTAAGATGTTACTAGCAGACCTTTTGTTTGTCTGCTTGACTGTTCTGTGATTACTTTTGTTTACTGGTAAACACGTCCATTTGTGGTGATGCAGTTGAGGAACTTGGTATGGGCTACATCAAAACATGATGTTTACCTTATGTCACATTTTTCTGTCATTCATTGGTCTTCATTGAAACACAAAAAGCGTGAAATTCTTAATGTTTCTGGCCATGTGGCACCATCCGAGGTTAGTGTTTGGGCAGTGATTGGCTTTTTCTGAACTGTTGGTTTTCTAGCCTTCTTTCCTCTTTTATTTCCCCCTTTCTTAATTCTTCTGAGATTGACCAACGTGTTTGTTCTTCCTTTAGAAACATCCTGGAAGTCTGATGGAAGGTTTTACTCAAACACAAGTCAGTACTCTTGCAGTTAAGGATAAGCTGCTAGTTGCTGGAGAATTCCAGGGTGAACTGATATGCAAGGTAAGTAGTGTATTGACCCAAAAGAAAAATGTTATATTGAAGTTGAATGTCTACACCTTAGCAGTTTTATTTCAATCCATTGTTGGATTTTCAGTTACGTTATAAGATGAGTCTAGCTAAATGATTCCATTAAGCTCTTCAGAATCTATGATGTTTGTTTTCTTGTTTGTTCTGTTCCAAGATTTTCCAACTTTTAAATTGCTTATTGCTTTAAACGAAAAGCTAAATGTTTTTTTTAAGAGGTTAAATGTCTGTTTTTTTGTCTGAGTTCTTATTTACTGTTGTACTCTTGCCAATTATCTTAAGAATTAATGTTGATTTTGATCTGGAATGTAGCATTTAGATCGACCTGGAATAAGCTTTTGTTCAAGGACCACATACAATGACAATGCCATTGACATTTATGTCACTCCAAGGTATATCTTGTTCCCTGAACTGCTGGTGGCATCAACCACATTCAACCTGAACCTAATTTTGCTTTGTTTTCAAATTACTAGTGGTGCAGTTCACCTTACTGCCTCAAATAATGACTTTGGAGTCAGAGATTTTGATATGGAGAAATACCAGCTTTCTAAGCATTTTCATTTTCTTTGGCCAGTCAATGTAAGCTCCTTTTATGGGGGGTTCTGTTTGTTTTGGATTGGTGCATACACATAATATTATTCCATCTAAATTTGTTTGTGTAATATGCTAATTATTGGTTCTATTAATACGGTAAAAGAAACACTTGAGGATAAATACTGTAATCTCTGCTTGTGCATGCTTTTGCAGCATACTTCTCTGAGCCCTGATGGCAAACTTCTAATAATCGTTGGAGACAACCCTGATGTTATGCTGGTGGATTCTGACACGGTGAAGGTAGTTGGCTGCTTACTTTTGCCCCATTTTATTTTATATATACCTTTTTTTGGAGATTTCAAAGGCTAGGACTTGGTGTTTTGATGATGAGAAATTGCATTGCAGACTGTTATGCCCTTGCGTGGACACTTGGATTACTCATTTGCATCAGCTTGGCATCCTGATGGTGTCACTTTTGCCACTGGTAACCAAGACAAAACTTGCCGGATTTGGGATGTTCGGAACTTGTCCGTGTCGATTGCAGTTCTCAAGGGGAATCTTGGAGCAATGCGGTCCATACGCTACACATCTGATGGTAGGTACATGGCAATGGCTGAGCCTGCTGACTTTGTCCATGTTTATGATGTGAAAAGTGGGTATGAGAATGAGCAAGAAATCGATTTCTTCGGTGAGATATCCGGGTTATCCTTCAGTCCTGACACAGAGTCTCTCTTCATTGGTGTATGGGATCGTACATATGGTAGCCTTCTTGAGTATGGCCGGCGGAGGAACTACTCATACCTCGATTCCCTGATCATGTGAGTTGATGTGAAGTATGCAAAATAAGCTTGTCAGTAACCAAAAATACATAATAAGGTCCGTTTGGTTATTGACGGTATCTGAGCAGTACCCCGGGGGGTTGTTAGATGTAAATGTAATATGTATGCTGTAACTTTAGGGACTGGCTATTAAAATAGATACTGGTTTGGCATCAAATATAAGTTAAATGGGAGTATGCACAGAAGGCTAGAAAGCGCTGTTGATGTGAACAAGAATGAATGATATTATAGAACTATGGTTCATAATTCCTTTGTTATTAGCCATTTGCCTTGCTGTTGTTCTGTAAGTGTCTTTCTTCCTTCATGCTTTGTTATTTCTAACAAATTTATTTACACGAACGTACATCCTGGAAAATAAATGTATTTAACCAATTTTTTCTTCTCTGTAAGCAACACCACATTGGCTTCGTCCTCAGCTTTGGTAACCCCAATCTTCTCCACCACCACTACTTAAAACAAACCCGGGAGCCGCCGACACCATCATTTGAAGCTCAACTCCATCTCCACAAACTCGTCTCCCTTTTCCTAGGCTGCTTCGTCTTCTTCGATTTTCCACAGAAAGCAGGTGACGCTTCACCTATGGGGTATGTTAGCCTTTTGAAATCCAACAGTACCGTGTGGGACTCAACGTTGTGGATGCTCTTGCTTGGGAATTCATTACTCATATACTTGCTTACTATGTCTTATGTGATTTATAAAATATTTTAAACATAAGATAAATTATATACTCTAAAATAGGGTAAATTACGTAGTTGGTACCTAAACTATCAATTTTAATCCGTTTTAGTACTTAAACTTTCAATTTTTTCAAAATCATACTTAATGTTTAGTTTTTGTTTCATTTTAGTACACTTTCATTAAAAATTTAACGCTTTTAGTAATTAAACTTTCAATTTTTTTCAAAATTTAATGTTAAATTTTAAACGGATATTAAAATGAAATAAAAATTAAATTTTAGGTATGGTTTTGAAAAAATTGTAAATTTAGATACTATAATGGACAAAAATTGATAGTTTAGATACCAAATGCATAATTTACCCTATAAAATATTATAAATTTAAGATAGATATTAAATATTAATATAATATATATGCTTTATTATTTAATATAATTTTAAGTTTTATTTTTCCTTTTCTCTCTCATTCTTATTGAAGTTATTATATAGTAAAAAAATTAAATTTATTAAATTAAATTACAATTAAAATCAAATTGAAAGAATATGTAAATAAAAAAGATCAAATATGTAATTATATATCTAAATTGTTACATCACCTTCTTTGATAGATACTAATAATTTGATTGATGTTATTTAAATAATTAAAGGCTTTATTTAAAAAAATTAAAATAATATATACTCATGCTTAAATAATTATAAGTATTATTTAATCTTATTATTTTTTTATAAATTTAAATTATTTTAGTAAATCTTGGGGGAGGGTTATCTTTTCCTCTCAATTATAAAAATACTATTATTATTATTATTATTATTATTATTATTATTATTATTAGCTAATTATTATGGTGTAGTTTTGGCAATGTTTATATTTAAAAAAATCCTTATAACTTTTTATTACATTTACCTTGTCCTTGTCCTACACTTTCCAGTTTCCCCGACCCAACTTTACTTTGGTATCGCTTGTTCTTAAGATTAATTAATATTAATAGGGTAACATAGCATACCATAAATCATAAGACAAAAGGAACGGGGGGAATCATAATCCAAAACTGTTTTTGAATTTGGGTCTAAAGATGTCTCAGCATCAACAGCAGAGTCAGAGTAGAAATGGGCATCCCTCTCCAACCCCTAACTACGACGATGTTGTTCAAAGTCCTGACCTTTTCTGGGAAAAGTTCAAAGCTTTTCACAAATCTCTCGGCTTGAAATTCAAGTAACTCTTTTTTTTTTCCAATTCCCAACCTTACTTCCTTGTCTGGGTTTTTTTTTTTCTTTCTTTTCTTGCTTTCTAACTGCTTATTTTGCAAGAATAGCCTTTCACAGATCCTTGTCCTTCATATTTCAAATCATCTTTTTTTTATTTATGTGTTGCAATTTTCAGGGGTTCTGGGTGTTATTATGCATTCAGTACTATCATTTATGAGTTCGATTAGTTTTCTAATTTCTGTGTACTGAAAAAAGGCGTCTTCCACTTTAACTGTTTAATTTGAAGTTCCATTGTTGTAATTTCCCCCATTTCCCTTTTCTTCTTGATAAGCACCCTTTTTCTTAGATTGCATGCAGGGTTTTGGCTGACTGCTTTTGTTTATATATATAGATAGATTCCGTTGTACATAGCTCACACTTGGTGTTCTTCTTATATATAACTGCTAATTGTAACATTTTTAGCATCTCATTTTCTTTATTGAAAAATGAAACAACTAAACTAGTAAAACTTGCTCTTTAAGGGAGGATTATAGCAAATCCTTTGTGTTCATTTTGAATTTGAACGGTCTCAGTTACTCTAGATTAGCTTCAGGTGTATGTAATCGTTTGCAATTAGATCCTGAAACTTGAAACTATAGCATCAAATTATCTGCCTACGGTTTATGCTTCTGCTTTCTTGCTACTTATATTGCTTGATGTATCTGGTCTCTTGGTCGATGCAGAATTTATAATCTCTTTCTAACCGGAAACTTCATAGTGTAACCCTTTTTGTTCCCTTTTCCTTTGTTACTTTGAGATATGATTTGGAATGTTCATGCATGAATAAAAATGATACAATGTGGGCACAGCTGTTAAAGGTGGGGGCTGGGGCTGGAGGTTCCATTTTCATTTTCGTTAACGCTTTTAAAGTATGTATCATCTGACTTGTTAAAGGGAAAATTGGGTGTTGGGAAATGATATAACAGATAGTTAGAGCAAGAAAACCACTACTTGGGGTATATTTTCTTCTGTTGTATTGGTCGGATAGGGTTCCGATTGTTGGAGGAAAGGATCTGGATTTGCATCGACTCTTTGTAGAGGTCACATCACGTGGAGGTCTTGAAAAGGTATTACAAGTTCTTTAAAAGTTTTTGAGTTATCAACTAATTGAGTTGTCCCAACGTGTTAGTTTGTTACACCCACTCTGAAGGGAAGTTTAATTTAGGGTCTGTTTGGTTTGAGAAAAACATTTTACGGAAAATATTTTCCCCATTTTTCTGTGTTTGGTTCCCGTAAAACACCCGGTCAACGTAAAACGTTTTACGGTCAATGGAAAATGGAGAGGAAAACACGGTATTTCGACTTACCGTTTAGAAAAGAGTAAGTCGTTTTACAGCTTTCTCCCGTCACTTGCTCCACACAAAAAGCATGGTCTTTCGTTCTCCCGTCCCTTGCCCCACATGGGAAAATCGATCGACTGTTTGGAATCCTTCTAACCGGTGAGGCGGGCGGTCGTCTTCTCAGGTATCTCTTGTTTCTTCTTCTCTCTTTTCATCTTCCTTGATCTCCTTTTCTTGTTTCATCTTTCCCTCATTTTCCATTTTCAATTTCACCGACGAGGCAGAAAACACAGAAGGATTGTGGTCTCTTTGCTTTTCTTCTCTTTGGAAGAACCAAAGGTGAGCTTTTCGTTCTATTTGACTGCATAAACTTGAGATTGACTTCATACTACTGTTAGTTTTTGGATCACCCATTGCTTGAACTCATACATTTTTTTGGGTAATTTTAGTGTCTCTTTTGTTTTTAATTCATAACCTAGGGATTTGATTGGCTGTTTGGCGAGAATTTTAAAATGGGTTTAGTGAAATATAGATGGGTTTTGAGTTTTGATCAGTACTTTTTTGTTTCTGAATTCTGGGTTTATGTTTCTTAAATTATTCTGTTGGATTTTGATTTCACTCTTGGTTTATGCGGATGTCTTGAAATCTCAAATACTTGATTTTTTTTCTCTTTTAATAACTCAGAATTTGATTCTTCTAATATGTTTTTATGTGGCTAAAAGCTTGAACCTCACTGTAAATTGATAATATTGAATTGATCATCGTAGTGTACTATATATGAATTATGCATTCTTTGGATCTTCTATTTGAGTTCTGTTAAGTGTTTATGCGCCGGAGAGCAATTAATCAACGTAGAAAAGATTATACCTCCATTGGAATCCCTTGCTGCCGAAGATTATTCACTGAGTGATTATTATTCTAAAGCTAGTAACGGTGAGAAAAGGCCAGATACCGGGAATATAGAAGAAGTTGAGTTGTCGCTGCGTGAGAGTAGTTAATTGAATTATGAGATTTGCTTCTTCATCCTTTGCAGCTTTCAAGTTTAGTTTCGGAATACGTTTGTTCGGCATTGCCGTTATATGTCCTTGGGATCTGTGGCATTGTACTGAAAATTGGAAATGGCACATAGGTTTTCCTATTATTTCCTTTTAGTGAACTCGTTTCTGCCTTTGCATCTCCCCTTTTTGCCAATTCTTTAAGTGCTTTTATTTACTTTCTTTCTAGCTAAGGTGCCTTCGATTTGCAGGAAGCTAGAACATTATTGGGAAGAATTTAATATCAGAAAGGAAATATAGAAGCTGCACTGCATGTGTTTGAAGGAATAGATATTGCTGCAATAACTCCCAAAATGAAACTTGGCCTTACTAGAAAAGTAGAAATGCGACTACGCGCCTCCGATGTCTATCCATGCTGTTAGTTTACTACTAGAAGCAATCTTTCTGAAAGCAAAATCATTGCAACATTTAATCCACATAGAAAAAGTCCATTTTCGATCTAGTCAACACGTCTAAGAACATTACAATAATATTATTACGGTTGGATATTATTGTTGTTTTAATGTGATAAACCCTTTAATTATATATTTTGACACTATTATTATTATTATTACTACAATATTATGTACTATTGTTATTTTAATTTGGTATACTATTTGTAGACACTAATTTTTATTTTACTTAAATTATTATAATTATTATAATAATTATTATTATTATTTATATTTATATATATATTATTATTATTATTTAATAAATATTACAAACCCAAAAATGAGGCTCGATTACAACCAGGCCAGATCAGAAATGGCCCGAAACAGATGACCCAAACCCTTTAGGGTTTGTAACATATCAGCTAGGGTTTTCTAACCCT